ATGAGCAGGATCCTTCCATCCTTTTCTCGGATTGGGACCTGTTCATATACGTTCTTGGCAGATGATCCAGAAGTGGTTTGCCATTGCCTTCTTCTGTGTGTGAATGGAGTAATTGTTGGGATGCCACGGAGAAACCGGGGAAACCCGCGGAAGAAAACTCCGCTCAGTATATAGTACTAGAAGTATTAAGTAAGTTCTGAAATTTTATGTCTGATAGCAATTGTAACCGGAGCTACCAATTTATTTCCCGGCCCAGATAATATTTTATACTGATAATTGGCCGACTTCGGTTCGCGGTAAAATGCACAATTCTGACATGGCAGACCGCTTAATTAGCCGATAGGATATTCTGATTTAGGCTTTCGTCTTCATTATCTATTCCAAATCCAGTCACCTGTCTCATCAGAAAATACACCTATACCTGTGGAGTCGCCCACGAATTTAATATCAAATCTGTGATATTCAAAAGCACATAAGTAACAAGACTTATACGGCACAGAGATGAACTTTATCACTGACATCAGCTCAGTTAGTCAAGAAATTCCCTTCCCATTAGGGATCATTTTCGTGCTCATAAGAGTCTGCCATTGGTTCGTATCCTGAAATCCACAGAAGATAATTTACACTTTACTACAAAATAATACATTCTGACTGCAAACATGTGAACGTGTTATCGTATTAATGCATAATTCAATACTGTCAGTTACTTCATAGGTCATTTAACAATGATGTATGAACTACAACAGTTATTTAACGCAACACAGTAAAAATTATTAAAAGCTGTCGTGACGTGTTTCAAGGGGATATCCAAAAATTCATCTGAAATGACATGAGGAAAACTTAAAATAGACTGTGTCTCGGTCATGATTCGAACCAGGATCCCTCCGAAAACAAGTGCTTCGTGTCAGGCGTAAACCCAACTAATAGGGAGTGTCTGTTCTGTAAAATACTTTGTCAACCCCTCAATAGCTTTGAACCTTTCTGGCTGTTTATTGAGTAGACTGACCCTCTGACGTACGATGGGAGATAAAATGTCCTGGGATAAATTATTAGCCTCTAGAATATAAAGTTTGCACTTGCGTTTGTGGATCGAATATAGCCATTAAACAACATAAAGACGCTATGCCTCACCGATATAATGCACACCACCGCTAACGAAACGACTTTCATGAGACCATAAAACGAATGTGCATCAATAATCAACACGTATTAGAACACATCCATTATTTCTAAAATTATATTTATTATCCATGTAATTATAATAATTCAACACTATTAGGGTACCATATCATGAGATAATTTGACAGCAACCTTATAGCTAAACACAACCATAATAAAATAATAAAACGACAATTTCAATAACAATAGTCATAATCATAATCATAATCTAAACCTGGCGATTCAGAAGTCAGTAGCACTTGGGAGTATTCGGAATTCAAAAAACTTACCGAATTTTGGTTTTCGTCAGTCCATCCAGGTAAATTATGGAATTAAAGTACCTTTAAAATAGGCCATGACAGCGTTCTTCTATAGCCTCCTACCTAACATTCGAAATTATCGACATATTATGATGTAAAACGTTGCACACGCCAGTAATGAATACATGATGATGATGATGATGATGATGATGATGATAAAACGAACTTTGAGATAGAGTGGTTATCACAGCAACTCTCGGATTCAAATCTCGACCCCTACCCAGAGGATTTTTGACTCCCATTAATATATTTTTATTTTGATTATTTCTCGATATGCTGATAATTAAATTAAATACAATAAATATAATGTTTATGTCTCTAGTGTTACTAGCTTCGCAATTATGGATTTAGACCACATTTTTATAATGTAATGGGCGAATATGAAGGCCAGTGAGGTAAGCAAAATGAAAAAAAAAACTATTTTGGAAAATATGTGCACACCATCGCTTCTTCAGCGAACGTAATCGATAGTTTTTGGTCCGTCGTAAATTCAATTAATCCACTTTTCGATCATTTAAACGCGTTGCATCAACATCGTAAATTATTTACATTAGAATGAGATGGAAAGTTAATCGCGAATTGTGACTAGGTACAGATTTGGGAAGAAACGTTCGTAGAATTCTTCCACATTGAGACAAAATACGAAACATATATTTCGTATTTTTATATATATCAGGATATCAGCTGCTTGGCCGAGTTTAGAAAGTAGCAAAAATAAATAAACAAATCTGCCCCTGCAAGGTACGCCCTTGCTCGGTCATAATATTAAACATGTCTTCCCCATTATAAGACGGAGAGAAGTCTGAGAGAGTGTCACTCAGAGAGCAATCTTTGCATTAAAGTTATATTTGCTAGACTGAAGACTGATCCAAAACCAATTTCATAGACTGAAATATGTCTCCTGACACTCAGTTCCCCCTGAATTTCTTCTAAGTTGGTAAAGTACTCCGCCATTATCTCCAATAACAGTTACAACCTATATCACCGACAACATAATAGATAAACCACTCGAATCATCACCCAAGCGTCAGTATATCGACCTGTCAGTTACCCAATCAACCAGCTTTATAATTATTCACCAGTCAATCCGCTCCGTGCGTATATCAGTAAGCCAATATACTGTCTACCGTAGGGCAGGCTATGATTAATCGCATATTTTGATCTCTTCCGCTCGTTTCAGACTTCAAAACTCATTAAAGTGTTTACGTAACCAATGAAAGCCCTCTGTATACCCTCACAAAGGAGCCGATAATTTCTTGCAGACTATGTTTAGCAGCTTTAACGTGTAGTTCCTTGCCACATATGGCACGGCAGTAGCAAACCCCGAGGGGTCTACACCGATATTACCAAAACTTGATCACTGGGCGCGATTGTTAGACAATTCTATCTACCTCAAAATCCGCTTTCAAAAGAATAAAAGAAATACTTTTAAGAGAAACAGGTTCAGGGAATATTAGTGCTACAAATTTTGCAAGGACAAAAAATAAATGCCTTGCAGCTCTGGCTTTGTTAATGGATTCCTTTAAAGGATTAGTCGCAGTTTATATAGCACAAAAGAATTTTCTATGACAATCTTTGCATACGAACCTTCTTCTTTTTTGGCACTACAATGTTTTATTCCCACCTTTTTTTCGTTCTTTTAGGGGAACATTTTCCAATATGTTCCCCCCCCCCCAAAAAAAAATGCTGTCATAATTAATAGTTACACACCCAGACAAAATTTATAGACTGGCTCTTGCTATGTTATAGTATCGAATGGTAAGATATTGCCAATTACGAACTGGAGGACTAAGTGAAATCACTGAAGGACCTCAGTCACGACAGCCTGGCCGGAGAATCGACCCCCGGACCTCGAATATGAAGCGGTATTTCTGACCATAAAGCCTTAAGTTCGGTTCCAGCCTAAAGCCGTCCCTCATGCCATCCTCACTGGGACGCTTTACTCTGAAGTGTAAGGCAATGTCCGATTTCATTAACAAGGTACTCGCCATCAATTTCCATTGCATTAATCTCGTGCACAGTGTATTCTCTCCGAACATGAGGGTGAGTGTCCCAGCTCGGGTTTATTACGCAACTTGCCTCGGCCATAATAGGCCTCATTCACGTTCGTAAAATCTTGACATCGATTTTCAGCGCGAACAATCCTGACTGAGCACTTGCGTGGAGCTGCTGCTGGTATGGACAGCCTTCCTACAACATGTTATGTCTTTACCTTATCCAGACAGACCTGAATGGCGCAATTTAAACAAGCCAGACTTACACACCGCGTACTTATGTCGAGAATTTCATGAGAATCTCCAAGTAAATGACACAGTAAACCCGTATATGCAACCAACTCCCCCTTCCACAAACCTCCCAAATCCAAATTTACATTCGTTCTACCACATTATATCATTTAATACACCAAAACCTCAACAGATGTCAGTGGCTTATTTTATGTAAGACTTGAGGTTCTCACAGCGGTGAGTATGAAGATTTCCGTCTTCTGGGTTGTTACGCTATGTAGTCTGGTCGATGTGTACCAACGTTTCAGAGGGCATACTGCCTCCGTCAGCAGAGTATGAAGATTGGTTAACATCGACCAGACTACATAGCGTAACAACCCAGAAGACGGAAATCTTCATACTCTGCTGACGGAGGCAGTATGCCCTCTGAAACGTTGGCTAACATCGACCAGACTACATAGCGTAACAACCCAGAAGACGGAAATCTTCATACTCTGCTGACGGAGGCAGTATGCCCTCTGAAACGTTGGCTAACATCGACCAGACTACATAGCGTAACAACCCAGAAGACGGAAATCTTCATACTCTGCTGACGGAGGCAGTATGCCCTCTGAAACGTTGGCTAACATCGACCAGACTACATAGCGTAACAACCCAGAAGACGGAAATCTTCGGTTTATTTTTTATTTGTATTACAACCAGATCGGTTATAAAACACTGAATGGCAGGGTAATTATGAATGATAAATTTAAACTGGCGTTCTGTATTATTTCAATAAATTAGTCCCATACCTGCATTAAAAATGCGAGAAACGTAACGGAACGCCTCGGTAAAAACAGTCAGTAGATGAACAGACACACAAATCCGAGATACAAATAGCAGAAAGGCGAGAGCACAACGAATAAAAGCAATCTACTAGACACGCACCAACGAACAGACCCAGGATGACCTCAAAACGTAAACCATCGGCAAACAATAGGGAAAATAGAAAAGGAAAATCTACAACTGAGCTAGACACGACTATAAATACGTCACAAAAATACTTTTACACTGCGCCCTCAATAGAGATGTCCACGACTCCTCTAACTGAAATTATAAATAACACAAAAGTTGCTTTCGGTCTGTAACTTACGATTAATTTCCTAGACTGCATCACAGTTTTGCGATCAATACAAACACCAAGAGAATTCCGGCAAATATGTGCACCTGAAGTTTATCTTGTATCTGTGACCCAGTGAAATCCCTTGGATTAGCTCTCATGCTGCTGACGGCTCGAATGGAGCGCTACTGCTGGGGTTGAATGATAGCGGTTCTATTTCCTTCCTCATTTTATTATAAATCTGGATTCAAACGTAAGTTTTCATTAAATGAGAGCTTTATTTTTGCTTCGTTTGTGTATTTAAGTTTCAGGACAAAGAACTTGTGCTTTTAGTAATGTCATATTAATATTGGATACCAAGTTTAATGCCATGTGTACCTTTGGCTA